AGTGACAGGATCCTGGGGGACATGCTCTAGTCACTAGGTCTACCTTGGTGACGTCTCTCCAGATGTGCAGAGCAGAGCATTGCTCTTGCTCTCTGCTTATATACTGTCCAGTTTTCTCACAGGGGATTCTATTACTATGCCTGGTTGTCTGACGTGAGTGTTATCACTGGATAATTGTTATCAGGGTGTAGTGGTGTGGTGGTTCCTGGCTAAGCTGCTTTTACATATCTAAAGGGCTTGTTTTTAAAGTATGCTCACTACAATCTATCTCCTGGTCCTTGAGGCATACATAGTGCCAATGGGGACCACATACACGAATCATCAACACTCTGAGGCAGTTTGTAAAATCAGGCCACAACAAGAAAAGGAGAAAGCTTACAATAAAGATTTCAATATTAATAGACAAATGAATGCAAGAAAACAAATCTCAGGAACCAAAACATATAACTATTAAGCAAGATGGTAAATGTATATAGACCACAGGATATTATTGGGATCTCTCTGGCATATATGTATTTTCCAAAATTCATATTTCTCATGGTGTGGTATGCACCCAGTTGAAAACATATTCAAAAATAAAGGGAAATGCAATCACTTTCAAGCAAAAATGTTGTAAAGGGGGCTTATAGTAGCAGGGTTGGAGTTGTAGGACTCTGAGCTAAGCAAATCAAGTAAGAGCATGGGGGTCATGGTTGCGGGACAGGTATTTCTTCTTTTATTAATGAGAAGAGCAACTAAGTCCAGTGAACTTCATAATTAGCTTCCAATGTTTCTCAGTGTTTTGCATGTTAATATGAAAAAGCAAATGCTGAGTACAAAGCATCAGAAGTCTGGTGAGTTTCCAGAGGCTTCCATCTCTCCATAGCCAATGTATATACACCCTCACTTTTGGCAAAAAGAGCAATGATGCTGTAGGGAGGAACCAAATATATGAGATATAATTTTTCCCGGTTTTTTATTTAAATTAGAAACAAGCTTGCTTTACATGTCAATCCCAGCCCCTCCTTCCTTGCCCCCACAATAACCTCTTAACTCATCCCGGTTCTGCTCCCCAGGGAGGTTGGGGTCTTCACTGGGGGATCTTCAAAGTCTGTCGCATCGTTTGAAGCAGGGCCATGTGACTAGGCTGAGAGTATATCCCTCTATGTGGAGTGGGCTTCCAAAGTCCATTGTGTACTAGGAATAAATACTCATCCAATAATAGAGGCCCTCCAGACCTCCAAACTGACATCCACCTTCAGGGGGTCTGGATCAATCCTGTGCTATTTTCCAGCAATCAGTGTGAGCTCTGTTTTGTTTAGATCAGCTGTTTCTTTGAGTTTCTCCAGCCTGGTCTTGATCACCTTGCTCATCACTCCTCCCTCTCTACAACTGGATTCCAGAGTTCAGCTCTTTGTTTAGCTGTGGGTGCCTGCTTCTGCTTCCATCAGCTACTGGATGAAGGCTCTAAGATGGCATATCAGGCAGTCGTCAATCTCATTATCGGAAAAGGGCATTTAAAGTGGCCTCTGTAATATTGCTTACATTGTTAGTTAAGGTCAACCTTCTAGATCTCTGGACATTTCCCTAGTTCCAGATTTCTCTTTAGACCTATAATAACTCCCTCTATTATGGTATCTCGAGTCTTGCTCTCCTGTATTATTCTCCTGTCTCAATGAGAGAGCAAGGAAATACAATATTCTTAGACTGAGGAATCATCATGGAGATGTAACATTTCCTAAAGAATTTTCGTTAATGGTTTCTTTAATGGTTTGCACAGATGTATCTGCGGGACTCATACAGACCTGATTTGTTCTTTCAGCAGCAATAGGTGATTGAGTCTCTGGATCATGTTGACATAGTTCCTTCTAAAATAAAGTTTATTAAACAATCCCAGAATAATCATAAGGAATTTATATGCCCAAAGGGACTACATGATATCAAAAAGAAAAAAAGCTATCCTTTATCCAATGGAATAAGTTCCATGTGGGGACGAAAGTACAGTCAAATCTGAATATCCTGCCAGTTACATCAAATAAAGAACATCTTTTCCTCAATATATGTTATTGTTTAAATTAGAAACATGAATGCTTCACATGTCAATCCCAGCTCCCTCTCCCACCCCTCCTCCCTTGTTCCTCCACCAGCACCCCAAACCCCCACCCAATCCCCACATCATTCCCCAGGGAGGGTGAGGCCCTCCTTGGGGGGATCTCTAAAGTCTGTCATTTCATCCAGGGCAGGACCTAGGCCCTTCTCCAAATGTCCAGGCTGAGAGAGCATCCTTATATTTGGAATGGGCTCCCAAAGATCACTCATACACCATGGTAAACCCTGATCTACTACCCAAGGCCCCAGTGATTTCTGTGGCAATATATTCATGGAGTCTACATCAGTCCCCTGTTGGCCTCAAATAAAGAGCATTTTTTAAGCTTGTTAACTGTGGGTGTAGGCAGGAGTGTCTGCTTTGAGCACAGCTGATATTAATAATCTCTATGTCCTCCCGGGGTCTCAGTATCCCTAGTAATCTCATACTCCATTGACTGTACTTGTGGCATGTTAAATAAAGATCAGTGGAAATGGCACTAGTGGCTTCCTAGCTTTTCCTGGTCAGATATTGTTCGGTTCATTATTATACAGGGTACCCAAGTCAAAAAGTTGTCTCTGTTTGAGGGTTAGACTGGAGGTCAGTGACATGATTACTTGTCCTGAAATCAGCTTTAACTCCAGTAGCATAGTATATAGAGCCAGAAAGCGAGGTTCTATAAAACAAAAAGTGAGTTGTAGAAATGACTGTGAGGTTGAAGGCCTTCATGGAGCATGAAATTCAGGCTTGTCTGTGAGTTGCTTTGTAAATACATAAGGGGTAAGTTCTGACATTTTTTAGCTCCCAGGGCAGAGGATGGGTAGACACAAAGGTTTTGCCCCCAGGTGAGACGGTGTGTTCTCCTGGATAGTAGATAGACTCTGTATTAATCTAAATATTCCATAAGAAAGAATCGATGGATACAACAAATTCCACCTGAAGTTTCCAAGGCAATGGGGTGCTTTGTTTTTCCTTTTTTGGGTGTTTTTTTAAGCTGAGACTATATTATACATTTAGTAAATGTATTTTGCAGAATCCATGCTCAGACTAAGAGGTTTGCCCTGGGTACAACAGGGACTTGTAGATTGCAGTTTTTGTTCCAAACCCTGGAGAAAAGGGCTGAGAATTTTTAGAGATCTGGTTGGTTTCAGCTAGTCTCTTCAAACGAAATTTCAGCTGGGTATTTTTTAGTATCTGCCAATGATAGCTTTAATACATTTAGTTACAGATGATGGCCTGTAATCAGTTTGTGTTTAGTAGCTAGTCTATCAGTCAAGGCATTATCGGTCAGTGGTTTTAATTAAGATTTCTGATGCCTGCTATATCTGCATCAATGTCAGAAGGAACAGAAGATGCTGTGCCAACTGCAAGTAAGGAGCCAACCAACAGAGCTCCTGCAGTCATCAATTTATAAGGTTTCCTTGCAGTAAAACTATTTCCTGAGTAGCAGGGAGAGACTGGTATTCTCCTAAGTTCAGTCTCAGGGCAGAGTACTCCAGATGGGAGCCATGATTTGAGGTAAGTGATATCTTCTGGCTCCTAAGTGTAATTAATGAAGCCTTGCATGTAGATTAAGGTCAGGCATCTGGTAACTATTGATGGGGAAATAGGGGTGTTGACAAATGCTGCCCTCTAGTGGGCTCTGAAGAATTGGTTGTTGTCATCCCATCCTCCTCTCTCAGATGTGTGCTGTTGTGCTGAGATCACCAATGACTTGAATTATTTTCTCCTGGGATGGCACATATTTATGACATTAATACTCTCCGTTTCTTGAGTCACTAGCACACAGTGTGACATCCTTAGTATCTTGTGTGTGTTTTAAATGTTTTGAACAAATGTGAGTATTTTGCCTGTCTGCATGGATATGCACCCTATGTGTGCCTGCTGAAGCCAGTAGTCAGAATATGATTCCAGAAACCCTGAATTTGGAGCTCTGGGTAGTTGTAAACCCTCATATAAGTATTGGAAATTAAACCCATCTCCTCTACAAGAAAGTGCTGTTCACCACTGAACCATCTGTCCTGCCCTGCTTTTTTTCCTTTTAATTTTTTTCCATTTCCAATGCTTACATTTTTATCTATTCATCCCTTTTAGTAAGATCATATTGATCTCACAGTTCAAAGTATGATGTTTCAGATTTCTGGAAAATGATTACAGATAGGGAATGAATGCTTATCTCTTAATAGGGCCTTCAGTGGCCTCCTCTTTTTCTTTATAGGTTGGTTGGTTGGTTTAGGTATGTGGCAGGGTGAGACAGGGTCCAAATATTTCTTAGAACTCATTTCATAGATCAGACGGGCGTATTCATTCAATGAGACTCAACCTTCGCTGCCTTCTGAGTGATAGGCTTAAACACATGAGACAATGTATCCTGTTTGCCATATCTTTTGTGGTTAGTAATTGCTCATTCAATTTCTCCGATGTGTACATAGTATTATTGATTTGTTTGCTTCTCTGTATGTCTGTTAATAGTCATTTCTCTTGAAAGGGCAAATTCCATTTAAAGAACAAAGAAATGACACATGTGAACATCTGTAGTGACATCTTGCCATGCCAGTGAACTGGTAGTGGGGGCCACAACTTTTGGGTATGGTACCAGGTGCAAAAGGAACACATTATAAGGTAGAGGAGGGGCAGGCTCAGGCTGTCTAGTTGTGGAGAGCATCGGAAGAACTGAGACTGCATGTTCTGGGCATGAAGAACACAGGACTCATTTACTCTCATCTGTGGGAGTCCTTTCCTAAAACACCTATTTATTATTATTTATCTCTGGTCTGGTGAACTCATTTAAACCCTACCTTCAAACCTCCTTTTCAGTTTCCTTCTAAAATGAATGGATGAGAACTTCTCTGTACTGGAATAAGTTGTGAAATAACAGAATTATGTAACTGTATTGTCAAAGATGTCTACATTCATATTGTAATCAATATCACAGAATGAAGTAACCTATGATGATGTGCATATCAGCTTCACTTCCAAGGAATGGTCTTTGCTGGATCCTTCCCAGAAGAGTCTCTACAAAGATGTGATGCTGGAGATTTATAGTCACCTTACTGATATAGGTAAGACCGAATTTCCCTTCAACATTTCAAATAAGAAGGCTACTGGTTCTTGCTCATTGGTCCTCTTCTGTAATTTTGAAAAAACTAAAGAATATGGTGAAAAATGTCAGGCATGGTTCTTAGGGTCACTGAATATAGTAACTTAAAGTTTGTATAATTTCCAGTAATATACCATGCGTTTTCTGGTACCATATTTTAGGCTACAAATGGGAAGCCCATGACAGTGAAGACCATGGTCAACGATTTAGAAGACAGAGAAGGTAATTTCCTTGTGTAAACTAATACAGATGTCCCATGGAAGAATTTTAATGTGCCTTGGAAGTTTTAAGAAGAAGTAACAGTGCAAATAAGTACAGCTTTAAATGTATTGATTATTAAATTCTCACAACACCATGTACCTCAATGTCAGGTAGCTAATGTCTGTTAACAAGATTTCCAGAAGACAATGCATGAACAGATATATCCATTTTAATGATAACCCCATGAGGTCTGCAGTAGGTCTGTCAGTCCATTAGTTCCATACCACTGTGATATGGCAAAGACAAACCTGGTGATTAGGAGGTAAGTCCATGTCTACAGCCTTTTAATAAACAAGTAGTCCATAGTAAAGTTAGCGTGACTCAAATCCTTGTGATGAGTTGCCAAAGTATAGTTCCAATGGCAGTTCATTGTACTTAAAAAGGGTTGTTATGGAGAACAAAGATTAAATTGTGTGTGCATTATGGAAGCCCCTTTATTGGTATATTATGTCACTCTTGAAATTAGGCACGTATACTAAAGAATATGGAAAGAATATCAACATTCCCCTCTCACATTCCCCTCTCCTAGAAAAATTAGAAAATTTCTAATAGTCCCCAGTTGGAGTAGACTGTGTATGTAATGTGAGTTTACAATTCATTTTAATCTAATTTCATCTGTAATATATCAACTCATACCACCACAGAAAGTCATGTGAACACAAAAAGCAGAAATTCTGTTTATCTTGGTTCACTTTGCAAATGCCGTATTTCTTGTCAACATAATGAATGTGGTACAGCATTGACATGTGCCAATTACCTTTATAGGCCTAAAAGAAGTCATACTGAAGAGAAACCCTACAAATGTACTCAATGTGGTAAAGCCTTTTCATATCGACAACTTCTCCTCATTCATAACAGAACCCATACTGGAGAAAAACCCTATGAATGCAATCAATGTGGGAAAACCTTTTCACAACGGAGTCATCTCAACACTCATAAAAAAACTCATAGTGGAGTGAAACCATTTCAGTGTAATCAATGTGAGAAAGCTTTTACACATCGAGGTTATCTTAAAAAACATGAAAGAACTCATACTGGAGTGAAACCCTATGTATGTAACCAATGTGGTAAATCTTTTTCAAAAACCTGTAGTCTCCAAATACATAAAAGGAATCATACAGGAGAGAAACCCTATAAATGTAATCATTGTGAGAAAGCGTTTGCAGATTATACTTGTCTGAAAATACATAAAAGAATTCATACTGGAGAGAAACCCTATGAATGCAATCAATGTGGTAAGGCCTTTTCACAACAGAGTCATCTCACCATTCATAATAGAAGCCATACTGGAGAAAAACCCTATGAATGTAAGCAATGTGGTAAAGCTTTTTCAAATTGCAGTACTCTTAAAATACATGAAAGAATTCATACTGGAGAGAAACCCTATGAATGTAAGCAATGTGGAAGACTGTTTTCACACGACGCTGGTCTCCGGGAACATAAAAGAACTCATACTGGTGAGAAACCCTATGAATGTTCTGAATGTGGGAAAGCCTTTCGAAAACACAATGGTCTCCAAATGCATAAGAGAACTCACACACAAGAGAAACCTTATGAATGTAAGCAATGTGGTAATGCTTTTTCAAATTGCAGTACTCTTAAAATACATGAAAGAATTCATACTAGAGAGAAACCCTATGAATGTAATCAATGTGGGAAAGTGTTTGCACACGATGCTGGTCTCCGGATGCATAAAAGAACTCATACTAATTAGAAACCCTATGAAAGCAACCAATGTGGGAAAGCTTCAAATTGCAGTGCTCTTTAATTACATGAAAGAATTCATACTAGAGGGAAACCCTATGAAAATGGAAAAGCATTTTCAATATATAGTGCTGTCCCAATGCCTAAGAGAACTCATAAAAGAGGGATCGCCTATGAATGTAAGCAATGTGAAAAAACTTTTTCACAACAGAGTAAGCTTCAGATTCATAAAAGAACTCATACTAGGGGAAGACGTCCACGGTGCTTCTGACGTCATACACTCCAGCGAGATGCAAGCCACCTACCTGTGTCCTGAAGATATGAGCTGACACAAAGACATCATGGCTCATCTAATCCTACGTTGTTCAGGCAGGCTCAAGCCATGCCCTCTCCAAGCTGGGTGCTCAGATCCTGGCATGGCAGGAAGACATCTGTGAGCCCATCGGATTCCAGTCTGCTCAGGCATGTCTAGTGCAAAGGCCATGATGTGAAGCAAGTTTTCTTGGGGAATCCAGTGTATTAGAGATTCGAGAGTCGTGGTATACCCGCTAATGAGGCCTCTGACTGGGAGTGGAACCAGTCCAACAGAAAGAAGTGTGTTGCCACCAACAATGCTGAACAGAGTTGGAGATGGTGTTCTGATGCAGAATTTCGAGTATGACCACCTGTTATTTGATTGTTTTTTGGTCTTGTATTTTCCCTTCCCTAAACTTTGGAATCGTAAAGTATGTTGTAAGCCATTATATGTTGGAAGTATGCAGTCTTCTTTTTGATCTTGATGTTACAGGGGATTACAGTTAATAGATTACATGATCTCAAAAGAGAAGTTGAACTTTGGACTTCCAACATTGATGAGACTGTGATAAACTATGGGAACTTTTGAAGTTGAACTGAATATATTTTGCATTCTGATATTGTTGAAACCTTTATGTTGAAAACTCTGTCCCCTGAAGCTGGGATGGCCATGTGGATTCCTGGCATCTACCTCTGGTGCCACGTAGCTCCACTGTGGGACATGGTAAACTAATGGACCCAGATTGCTGCTGAGAACCATGTCTGGCTTCATGGTCCTATCAAATCCTGGGCCTGTGTTGAAGTCTGTGGCCCATTTTGCCATCAATGACGAGGTTGATGTGCAGGGTCAGGTCAGCCTCCTGAATCCAAGTGGAGGCTGGAACTGTGCAGATCTGAGCTGCCTGTGCTGCTGCTTCATGTCATGGTGATGTCTGGGCCAAAGTTACAGCTGAGGGCCATGTCTGTGTCCCTGGCCCTGCTGCAGCAACAGTCTGTGTTGATGTCTCAGGTTCCTGTTACAATGGAAGGCCATATGAATGCCCAAGATTTTTTCATATGTTAGGGAAGAGGGCCACACTGCTGTACAGACTGTCAATCTGAGTGTCCTGCACTGCCACCTGGGGCAGTAGTGACATTGAGACCTGGCTCCTGCTGGGGACCATATTCTATGTCTGTGCTCCTACCCTAGAAGAGATCTGTGTTGAAGTTCAAGGCCTGTGTTGCCAGCAAAGTCACATGGAAGCCAGGTATCAGGGCTGCAATCTGTAGACTTGTCAGTGACTGGGAGCCATGCCGCCACCAGAATCCTACTATTCTGAGTGGTCTGTGCCTCTGCCTGGAGCCAAGGTGACATTTGGGCCCGCGCTCCTGTTTTGGCCACTTCTGGGTCTGTGGTGGTGCTACAGCAGAGCTCTGTATTGATGGCTGTGTTCCATGTCACCTCAGGAGACCATAGTCATATGTGTCATGAAATCAGGGCCATGCTGAGCCCTCCCCACCCTGGCCACAGGATAGCTGCTCCTGCCTCTCACTTGACACTTTGAGATCTGGCTGCAGCCCTCATGGGAGAGCTACTTCTCAGCATGGGTGAGCGTGGATTTACTCGGAAGACTTGGGCATCAAAGAGCGGGCTCCACCCACCCTGTACTTAAGGGAGGAATCCCCAGTTGCCTAGATTGACCAACTCAAGTCCCACTCAGACCACTGGTATACCCAGAGTTGGCACATCCTAGCATTTGCACAATTTAGGATCTGCTGGAGCTCGAGAAGGGACTGGTCCTGTAGAGCAATAAATACCTTCAGTGTCTCCATGACTTGGGCAGATGCACAATAACCAAGAGGAGTTTCAGTGAATCCAGTGATGATGTCATACCAGAAACCAGAGCCTTGAACAAAAGCAATGACTCAGTGGAATGAACACCTGCAAGTACAGCTGATTGGAAAAAAACGTGCACTGTGAAATACCATCTCCCAGTGCCACCAGGAACAGTGAAAGGGTGAGGGAAACTGGGAAAGATGGAGGAGCGAAGAGGCTATTTTTTTTTGTTTTTGTTTGCTTGCTTGTTTTGGCTTGATTTTTAAAATAATTTTCTTTTTGTGGGTGCCGCAGGCTGTCTTGGACAGGAAGGTGAGTGGAATGGGGGTTCATGATGATCAATTCCCATGGATTCAATAAAGAAATTATATTTTTAAAAAGACTTCATGCTGTAAACTCTGTGAATGTAAGCAATGTGATAAAAACCTATGCATGTCACTGTTATCCTCCAAGTCAGTAAGGAATTTGTATGGAGAATGAGGATATTAAAGAAGTTATAGTTAGGGGAACCCATGACCATAATGGATTTGTTAACATCTTTGGCCAACACACTTATATATTATTATACAAGATTATTGTGGAGAAAAATGTGACAAGTGTCAACAATCTATTCAAGCACTATGGAGCCCCTCTTCATCCCTCAAACTCATGGTCAGAGGTATTGTGAATGTAAACAAATGTGTTCATATAGGATTAGTGGAAACATTACATCAGTAAAACATTGTCTCCCATTAAAATGTAAGCATTTAGTCATTTAATACAGGAACATGGGAGCATTTTGAATCATGAATCTTATATGATAATGAAACTGATACTTATCTTGTCATCTTTTGGAGAGACTGGGTTAATTTCTTCTGAGGGCTAGATGCTTGTTCATGTCATTTTTTCATAACCATAAATGAACGGGAATGAATTAAATAGTCACTGTAAAGTTATCCTTGAGTGTCACGTCCACACCATTACACAAGTGTTTATACACACTTAAAACAGTTTTAAAAGTTTAATTCAGGAATGCAAAGAAAATAATCACAATATTGAGAACATATGAAATTATTCACCAGTTGAATTGAATGCATTGTAGAATTACTGCTCATCAACACAATGATGGTTCCTGTTTAAAATTTACATTGTTTGAGTCTCTGATTCCAAAGCAGGATATTAAACAACATCTCAGCTGGGTATACTAGTACATGCCTGCAGCTGCAGCACTTGGGAAAAACAAGAGGATCTCTGAGTTTCAGGCTTGCATTATCAAGATAGGAAATTCCAGGGGAACCATGGAGAGATCCTTTCTCAACACAGGATCATGGAAGCTTTCTTAAATAATAGGGCTGGACACCTCTCTAGAAAATCTTTCCTTGTCTTTACTCACATTGCAAGAAGTGGGTTAACAATAAGAACTAATTTGGAGAATCCATTCACAGAGGGTAGAAGTCCATGGAACCCATCAATGAGCATATAGCAGGGGCTTTCATTCCCTTCAAGTGATAGATGAGGGAAGGAGTAATGGGTATCTTCATCTACTGCATTATAATGACATATACCTTTAGAATTGGCTCAATAGTAATGATGATCCAATTTTTGTTGCTAACACCCATGTCACATGGCTCAGAACTAACCTTCTCCAAAAGATAAGAAACATTCTTTTGATCTCTCTGGGCACAAGATATAAAATGGTAGAGACAGAGAGACAGGCAGACTGAACTCAATATTGGAAAGACGTTTATTTCATGTGTAATTTTTTTATTAAAATTAATTTAGTTCTATAAGTTTTGCCAGTGTGTATACCAATTGAATTCCTGGTTTCAGTGGACTGGAATGACAGTCAAATTTGAGCCATCCCTGCATTCTGGGAATCAAAGCCAGGCCCTGTGGATAAACAAATCAATGTTTGTAGCTTATTAGCCATGTACTCGGATGCGCATACAAGCCATTTATTGCAGTAACATGTAAATGGCTGGTTTTCAATTCATATTTACTTCACTCTAATCAAAAAGAAATATAAGAGCTGGGTGTTGGTGGCACAAGACTTTAATCCCAGCACTCAGGATGCAGAGGCAGGTGGATCTCTGTGAATTCGAGGCCAGTTTGGTCTATAGAGCAATGTCCAGGATAGTCTCCAACAAAACAATACAGAGAAACCCTGTCTCTAAAAAAATGAAAAAAGAAGAAAGAAAGAAATATAAGGCTAATAGCGTCAGAAGCTAACTTAGACTTGCTGCTTCAACAAAGTTTTGATTATAGTACATGAGCTAGGTCCATTGGTTAGTTGTGGATTTCTCCATCTGTTTCTGGAGGATGGTTAAATATTCTCTGGGGCTATGGATTGTAGGCTGGATATCTTGCTTTGTAATCATACCCACTTATGAATAAGCACTTAACTATATTTCTCTTCCTAGTTTTAGGTTACCCCACTCAGGATGGCTTTCTCTAGTTGTTCATTTACCTGGGAATTTTAAGATGTCATTGTTTCTTACTGGAGTAGTACTCCATTGTGTCAATATACCACATTTTCTTTTTCCATTCTTCAATTGAGGGACATCTAGGCTGTTTCCAAGATCTGGCTATTACGCATAATATTGGTATGAACATAGTTGAGCCAATGTCCTTGAGGTGTGAATGTGCCTCCTTGGGTATATGCCCAACAGTGGTATTACAGGGCTGTGAGGTAGCTTGATCCCTAATTTTATTATATATCGTTATACTGAAAATCACAGCAGCTGTACAAGTTTGCACTCCCACCAACAATGAAGGAGTGTTCCCTTCACCTCCTCTCCAGCATAAGCTGTCATTGGTGTTTTTGATCTTAGCCATTCTGATCAGTGTAAGTTGGAATCTCAGACTGGTTTTGCTAACTAAGGATGTTGGGCATTTCCCTGAGTGTCTTTCTGCCATGTGAGATTGTTCTGTTGGGAAATCTCTATTTAGATCTGCACTCCATTTTTTAATTGGATTATATGGTTGTTTGATTTCTAGTTTCTTGAGATCTTTGTATATTTTGGAGATCAGCCCTCTGTCAGATGTGGAGTTGGTAAAGATCGTTTCCCATTCTATAGGGAGCCATTTTGTCTTGTTTAACTGTGTTCTTTGCTTTACAGAAGCTTCTCAGTTCCAGGAGCTTCCATTCATTCATTGTTGCTCTCAGAGCCTCTGCTACTGATGTTCTATTTAGGAATTGGTCTCCTGTGCTTGTGCGTTCAAATGTATTTCCACTGTCTCTTCTATGAGTTTCAGTGTGGATGGATGTCTATTGAGGTCTTTGATCCATTTGGACTTGAGTTTTGTGCATTCTACTACATGTTGACAGCTAAGTATATCAGCACCATTTGTTGAATGTATTTTCTTTTTCCATTTTATATTTTAGCTTATTTATAAAAAAAATTAGGTGTTCATAGGTGTATGGGTTGATATCTGGGTCTTCAACTCTATTCCATTGGTCCCCCTGTCTGTTTTTCTGCCAATACTGAGGTGTTTGCATTACTCTATTGTAGAGCTTGAAGTCACGGATGGTGATGTCTCCAGGAGATCCTTTATTGTACAGAATTGTTTTGGCTTTCCTGGATTTTTTGTTTTATATGAAGTTGGGTATTGCTCTTTCAGAGCCTCTGAAGAATTATGCTGGTATTTTGATTGGAATTGCATTGAATCTGTAGATTACTTTAATAGGATTGCCATTTTTAGTATGTTGATCCTACCATTCCAAGAGCATGGAGATCTTTTCAATTTCTGATATCTTCTTTAATTTCATTCTTTAAAGACTTGAAGTTCTTGTTATACAGGTGTTTCATTTGATTGGTTAGAGTTACCCCAAGATATTTTATGGTAATTGTAGTTATTGTAAAGGATGATGTTTCACTGATTTCCTTCTCAGCCCATTGGTTGTCTGTTAGTAGGAGGGCTACTGATTTTTTTAAGTTAATCTTGTATCCTGCTACATTACTGAAGGTATCTATCAGTTGTAGAAGTTCTCATAGAATTTTTGGGGTCACTAGTATATACTATCAAATCAGACAATAGTGACAGTTTGACTTCTTCTTTTCCAATTTGTATCATTCTGATCTCCTTTTGTTGTGTTACTGCTATAGTTAGAACTCCAAGTACTATGTTGAATCCATATGGAGAGAGTGGACAGCCTTGTCTTGTTCCTGATTTCAGTGGGATTGCTTTTAGCTTCTTTCCATTTAGTTTGCTGTTGGCTGTTGGGTTACTGTATATTGCCTTTATTATGTTTAGGTATGTTCCTTGTATCCCTGTTCTCTACAAGACCTTTGTCGTGAACTGGTATTGAATTTTGTCCCAGGATTTTTCAGCCTCTAGTTAGATGATCATGTTTTTTTTTTTTCTTTCACTTTATATACTGAATTGCATTGACAGATTTTCATATGTTGAAACATCCCTGCATCTCTGGAATGAATGCTACTTGGTTATGGTTGATGATTTTTCTGATGTGTTCTTGAATTCGGTTTGCCAGTATTTTATTGAGTATTTTTGTGTCAATGTTGATGAGAGAGATTGGTCTGTAGTTCTCTTTCTTAGTTGTGTTTTTGTGTGGTGTGGGTACCAAGGTAATTGTAGCCCCATAAACAGAGTTTGGCAATATTTCCTCTGTTTCTAATGTGTGGAACAATTTGACGAGTGTTGGTATTAGACCTTCCTTGAATTTCTGGTAGAATTCTATGCTGAATCCATCTGGACCTAGATTTTGGTTGGGAGACTATGGATAACTGTCTCTCTTTCCTTATGGGTTATAAGTGTATTTATGTTGTTTATCTGTACTTGTTTTAATTTTGGTATGCTGTATTCATCTAGAAAATTGAACATCTTAAAGTTTCCAGTTTTGTGGAGTACAAGTTTTTGAAATATGACCTGATGAGTCTCTGGATTTCCTCATTATCTCTTGTTATGTCCCCATTTTCCCTTCTGATTTTCTTAATTTGGATATTGTCTCTCTGTTTTTTGGGTAGTTTGGACAAGGGTTTGTCTGTTTTGTTGAATTTCTCAAAGAACCAACTCTTTGTCTTGTTGATTCTTTGCATTTTTTTCTCTCCTTCTATTTTATTGGTTTCAGCCTTCAATTTGAGGATTTCTTGCCATCTACTCCTTCTGGGTGAGTTTGCGTCTTTTTGTTCTAGCTCTTTCAGTTGCTCTGTTAATGCGCTACTGTAGGATTTTCCCAGCATCTTTATGTAGGCATTTAGTGCTATGAACTTGCCTCTCAGCATTGCTTTCATTGTGTCCCATGAGTTTGGGTGAGTTGTGTGGCCATTTTCATAAAATTTTAGGAAGTGTTTCTTTGTTCATGTCTTCCTTTACCCAGTGGTGGTTCAGTTGATCACTGTTCAATTTCCATGTTTGTGGGCTTTCTGAAATTAATGTTGCTGT